AGAAGAAAACAGATAATAATCCGCTGCTAAGGAGTTCATCCCAAATCGATTCCAACTCACAGTTGTTGTTAAGCGCCATCGAGTAGCTTCTGACCCATAGCGGCCCTGTATAGGGTTTCCAAGGAGCAGCTGGTGAGCTTGAACCATCAACCTTGCAGTTCAAACGACTTTGAAGTCTGACGCATTAACCCATAGCACCACACCAGGACTATTTAATTAGTGAAGAATGTCTGCTATGAGCATTGTGCTCTTTAGTTACCTATGTGGGATCAAATCGACATGAGCATTTCCAAAGGTTAGATCAGAAGGTTAGAGGGCAGTGAGTTTATGCTAATGAGTGAGGAAAAAAATTCAGTAAAGGTAGGTGAGAGGGATGGCAGAACTTGAAGAATGTCATCAATATCAGTGACCTGTATATGCAGCAATTGTTAAATTGGGGTATATTCTGATGTGCATATTTTCAACAATAATTTAAACATTAAGTTATTTGAAAAAAAAAAAAAAAGAATAAGTCAAAAGTGTTCTGAAATAGACATCTGTTCCTAAATATCTGAGAATTAGAAGGTAAACAAATAAATTACAGCATACCTAAACACCATACAATGCAGTATTCAAAAGAGCATGTAAACAACATGGAAAAAGGTTCACAATATCATTTAGGTGATTAGTTATAAAATTTTTTATCTATAATTACAACTTTTTAAAAATCAGCTAAAGAAAAAAAAGATTGGAGGAAATACACCAAAATGTAATGTATTCAATTTCTGGACAATCTTCTTTTTTTTTTTAATATTACTCTAATTTTCTATAATCATCAGTATGGTGGTGGTTATGTGTCGTGGAGTTGGTTCCTACAGTATAGGTTACTTTTATAATATAAAAAAATTAATACAGCTTTTGGGGGGACAAAATGATTTTGGTTTAGGTATTAGACAGATTTCAAATTTTTATTTAAAGCTTGAAGTTGTTGTTGTCGTTAAGCGTTAAGTGCCGTCAAGTCAGTGCCAACCCATAGCGACCCTGTATAGGGTTTCTGAGGAGCAGCTGGTGATCTTGAACCACCAACCAACCTTGCAGTTCAAATGGCTTTGCAGCCTGGTGCGTTAACCCACAGTGTCATACCAGGACTCCAAAATTTGAAGACCAGCAACTAATACATGAAGTGAATTAGCTCAGGTACTACAAGGAGTCTTGGTGACACCATGGTCAAGCAAGTGACTACTAACCAAAAGGTCACTGGTTTGACCCTACCAGTCTCAGCAGGAGAGAGAAATGGCAGTCTGCTTCCCTAGAGATTACTTTTGTTGGTAAGTGCCGTGGTGTTGGTAAGTGCCGTGGTTCCAATTCATAAAGACCCTGGTAGAGGGATTCAGAGGAGTAGCTCGCTGAGTTTAAACTGCTGACCTTGTGGTTTAATTTAACCCTGGAAATCCTGCTATGGGACGATTCTACTCTGTCCTATTGTTGTTAATGCGGTGGAATCAGTTCAACTCATAGCCACCCTGTATAGGATTTCTGAGGCTTTAAATTTTCCTGCGAGCAGAAAAACGCCATCTTTTTCCCACGGAGTAACCAGCAGACTCAAACCATAGACCTTGTGACTTGGAGTCCAGTGCTCTGTACTGTAGGATCACTTTTAAGTCAGAATTGACTCCCTTTCAATTGTAGACCTACAGGGAGTCTAAGATGTTGTAGATACGATCTACATCTCCAGCACAAGGTACTTTTCAAAACAGGCAGCACAGGGTCACAGGGTACGCATTCATCTCCAGGGAAGTTTTGCTCACAATTCAATTACCAAGTCTCTCCAAGTCAGCTATGCTTTCAGAAGGCTCCGTTATATTTTAAACTCCGCTCTTTAGTTCACAGTTATAATTTACTGAATACTGTGTTGTCACCAACACAGTTAAGAACTTACAAAGTGTTGTGAGTGCTGTCAAGTCAGTTCCAACCCACAGTGACCCTATGAACAACAGAATGAAACGCCACCCGGTCCTGTCCCGTCCTCACAATTGCTGCTACGCTGAGTCCACTGCTGCTACCTCTATGCCAATCCATCTCATTGGGGTCTTCTTTTTTACTGTCCCTCCACTTTACCAAACATGATGTTGTTGTTGTTGTTGTTAAGTGCCGTCGAGTCGGAGCCGACCCATAGCGACCCTGTACAGGGTTTCCGAGGGTGTAAATCCTTACGGGAGTAGAAAGCCTCATCTTTCTCCCGCGGAGTGGCTGGTAGTTTCGAACCACTGACCTTAAGGTTCGCAGCCCGATTCGTAACCACTACGCTACCAGAGTACTGTGTTGTCACCAACACAGTCAAATACTTACAAATATCAGGATATAAAAAGGTAGAGCAATTAATATAACATGGATGATGTGCTAGCTTTCTATTGTCATTGTGATATGGGCAAGCGTCTTTATTTAGCTGTCACCCAGATGTATACAAACTGGAATTTCTTACACATCGGCATTTATCAATTTATGGAAGGACCCTGTGATAAAATGATAAGCTCAGAGTTGCTGTCACAAACACAGGTACATCTTTAGTTCAAACAGTCCAGCTTTCTTTCTTTAAAAGTTCTCAGACGCCCCATTAAAACCCAAGCACTGACAGCTACAGGTCATCCCTGTTCACTGAGAATTATTCCCCAGGCATGAATGTCAAAGTGCAGTGGCCTTATTTTATTTGTCTGATCACTTCGAGTTCAACTGACCTTCAACAGAAACTCTGACACTCTTAATTTACCTCAGAACTGACTGACAGCTGCTTTTCAGAGAGTAAGGCTTGCGGAGGGTTAGGTTACCAACAACTTTGAACTGCCTTAAAAGAAGTTTTGTCTTTTGTAGCACAGAATTATTATGTATCTTTCAGAATGGTCATCCCATTCTGTCATGCATCCTATAAGCAAGGCAGCCCATAAAAAGCTAATGGAGTTTAACTGAACAGAATTTGGTTAATTTGGTTATAAGAGACAATAAGCACATAAGAACAATGCACACCTGTTTTAAATAGCAAACCTGCTCAATGAATCCAACGACTAACCTTTAAAACTGTACTTTCCTCAAAGATAACCAAGCATAAACACCTAGAAGTTACTAGTATTCCTATACCCTTCTGCTCCCCTACTTCCTTCACCCAGAAACTTGAAGGTAGGTGAAATTCCCAGCTGACAAGCTCATCTCTTAGGTCCCTCCCTCAGGCACACACCTATTTGTCCACAAGAAAGCGACATGAAAACTAAAGGTATAGTAAAGAAAGAAAAAATTAAAAACCAGTAACAAAAAGTAAAGGTGTAGAAGACCTGTTGTTAAGTGCTATCAAGTAAATTCAGACTCTTAGCAACTCTATTGGCTTAAGTACTGTGACACACTGGCACTCTCTGTGACTCCAAACTTGACCCCAAAGCAAAGAGGTAACTATGAAAACTCTACCTGTAGGATAAGCACTGGACTGTTAACCACCAGCCACTCTCTGAAAACCCTTTACAGAGTCTGTATGAGTTGGAACCTACTCCACTGCACTTAACAAGCTGTAGAAATCTGCTCTACCTGTACTCAGACATGTATCTTCCCCTTTAAATGTCAAAAATGCTAAAGTCTGGAGGTTTCTTTTTAGCAGGGCTGTTTGTAATAATAATAAAAATATTGCCAAAATATGCATAGCAGAAATAACAAAATAAGCACATAAAGATGCTTATTATTGTGGAGTCAGGGTGATTTTTAAAAAAGTTTCTGTGTTTACAGTACACTTAGAAGCCAAAGATCCTTAATATTTTAAATGGAGGGAGATAAAGTATGAATTACATTGCTTTTAAAGGTTTTCTCATTTTAGTAAGAATTTTGTCTCAAGATTTTCATATATGTTCAAGCTCAATGTTTCCAAGCCCACCCTGGGCACAAGGTGGACCTGCTAAGTCCATCTGAAAGGACAAAAGAAAGCAAACAAACAGGGTGGAGGTGGGGGTACAGAGTCAGGCACAAGTTTTTGGTTGACTCTAGGTTTGTTTTCATTAAAATTTCACAGGTTGTAAAATCTGTGTCAGAAACTGCTAGGCTTGACCAGTTTTCTTGAGTATACTTTGAATACCCCTGTATAACAAGAAAGTCCAGGATATTCAAAGGGCACTTTTTATAACGCTCACTCTTAAATTCCATAACCTTGAAATGGGGTGGAAATGGGGAGGGGTCTTGCAATCTGTACCACACACACTGATTAGCTTGTGCGTCTGTCTCAGGATTCTAGTCCACGTGTTCATAGAAGCCATCTATCATGACTCTCCATCTATGCTGCAAAGTGACAGATAAAATCCTTGCTTTTAAATTTCAAAAAATGCCAGTGTTTCTTAAACGCTGCTTTTTGCAGCGTTTATGGGCACTCTTCTACAGGCAGGATGAGAATGTCTACATATGGCAACCAGTTTTTGATGATACATTTGACCCTCCTGCAAGCTCTTCGAGCAGGGGCCACCATCACGTCGAGATACGAGTACAGTCCGGCTGCCACACGCGGTCCGAGCGCCTCCAAGCCTGCCATGGGGACAGGTGGGATGCTTGTGGCCAAGAGACCACCGCCCTGGGTTGCAGGTCATCTCCTCTCTTGTGAAGCTTCGCGTCCGGCTTTCCGGCCGGGCCGGTCCCCTCCGCGTTACAAACAAGGGGCCAATGGCGCGGCGCGCGTCACCCGGACCCCACCATGCACCGGCCCCGCGCCCGCGCCGCCCCGCGTAGCCCGAGGGAAGAGGCGGGCGGACATCCCGGGCTCAGGCACAGGAAACGGCGGCGGCGGTGGCTCAGCAGCCTAGTGGCCTCCAGCTGCGGAGTAAAACGGAGCTGCGGAGCAAAGGCCGGAAAAGCGAAACGTCCCCAGGAGCCGACCGGCGGCTTCCGCGCCTCCGCTGTCGGGCTCGGGCCGGCAGGGCAGCCTCAGCCCCAAAGCCTCTGCCGAGACCAGGGACGCCGCAGTGGGAGCACACGCAGCTCCGCGCGACAGGCGCACTCACCTCTTCTGCAGGCCCGCCGCTCCGCCGCCGGCTGTCACAGCAGCCCACTGCCTGTCCCGCGCCGGCTCCGGATGCTATTTAAGGTACCGCCTCTGCCGCTGTCCGCTGGTTGCGCCCCCGCCGCCGCCGAGCTGAAGCTGCTGCGAGTGCGCGTGCCGCGCCCGCCCGGCTCCGCCCCCCAAGCCCCGCCCCCCCGTCGCGCGCCCGCCTCCATCCTCCCCTCCCCCTAGTCTGGGCGTACGCGAGCTGGCCGGCGGACGGGCTGGCTGATGAGCGCTAGAGGGCGGCGGGCAAACGCTTCTGGGGTCCACTGGGCAGCCCTTGGATTTCATAATAAAATTTGGAGGGGCAAAGGGTAAATTTCAGTGCCTGCAAGCCGAAACTCCAGAGAACTCTAAGGTCTGCGCTGCCAGAAGGGTGGGAGGTGCCCTTTCTTTTCCATAGTCAACCACACGTCTCCCCGACTTCTTGGTGGGCTTGGAATTCTGCAAAGGGTTTTTCTTTGGCTGAGAAATGTGCGACCCCTTTTAACCTAATTTCAGTACGGTCAACACACAGGGTTTCGCCACAGCCCCTGGCATGGAGGACCCTTGTCTGGACTACGACAATGCATTGGACATGAAGCAATCCTGGACAAATCAGACTGGCTGTAGTCAGAACAGAAGGCACACTTGACATTGCTCAAGGGCAATATTCATCTGCCAAGTTTTTGGTGTCTGTTTACCCAGCTCAGTCCTGGCTGCGAGGTTATTAGGGGTTGTGCATCCATTAGATGCCTATTTGGGGGCTTACAGACAAAAGGAAAAAACCCATTGCCATCAAGTCGATTCCGACTCATAGTGACTCTGTAGGTGAGGAGCGTGGTAGTTACAAACCAGACTGCTAACCTCAGGGATATATGCTGAGCCTAAACTATATGCTGAGAAAATAATTCGAGAGGCTGGGTTCTATGAAGAAAAACATGGCATCAGGATTGGAGGAAGACTCATTTACAACCTGCGATATGCAGATGATACAACCTTGCTTGCTGAAAGTGAAGAGGACTTAAAACATTTACTGATGAAGATCAAAGAGCACAGGCTTCGGTATGGATTACATCTCAATGTCAAGGAAACAAAAATCCTTCAACACTGAACCAATCAACAACATTCTTATTAATGGAGAAAAGATTGAAGTTGTCAAGGACTTCATTCTTCTTGGCTCAACTATCAACACTCATGGAAGCAGCAGTCAAGAAATCAAACCATTTATTGCATTAGGCAAATCTGCTGCACAAGACTTCTTTAGTGTTGAAGAGCAAAGATGTAAGTTTGAGGACTAAGGTGCTCCTGATTCAAGCCATGGTATTTTCAATAACCTCATATGCTTGTGAAAGCTGGACAGTGAATAAGGAAGACGGTAGAATTGATGCATTTGAGTTATGGTGTTGGAGGAGAATATTGAAAGTGCCATGGGCTGTCGAAAGAACCAACAGATCTGTGTTGGAAGAAGTGCAGCCAGAGTGCTTGTTGAAGGCCAGGATGGCCAAACTTCATCTCTCATACTTCGCACATATTATCAGGAGGGACCAGTTGCTGGAGAAGGACATCATGTTTGGTAGAGTGGAGGGTCAGAGAAAAAGAGGAAGACCCCCACCTAGATGGATTGGCAAAGTGGCAGCATCAATGGTTTCAAGCGTGGCAACAATAGTGAGGTTGGCCTAGGATTGGGCAGTGTTTCATTCTGCTGTGCATAAAGTCGCTATGAGTCAGTACCGACTTGATGGCATCTAACAACAACAACTTCAGGGACAGCAGTTGGAAACTACCAGTGGTTCTGCTGAAGAAAGATGAGGCTTTCTGCTATCATAAAGGTTTACAGCCTTGGAAGCTGTATACAGAGTGGCTATGAGTAGAAACTGACTCCAAGGAACACCATCACCACCAGGACCGAGTAGAACTGCTGCTTTATAGGGTTTCCAAGACTGTAAATCTTTACAGGGACATACACCCTCATGTTTCTCTGTCAGAACAGCTGGGTTCAAACAGCTAACCTTGCCTTTAGCAGTCCAGTGCTTAGCCTACCACACCACCAGGGCTTCATGAGGGCTTACAGAGGCCAACATAGTTTTTTACAAGCTCACATCATGTTATTTTCCTCTTAGCACCTGAGGCTTGCTGGTATCATCATAATCTAATACCAGCAGCTCCGTGGGAGAAAGATGAGGCTTTCTACTTCCGTAAAGATTTACACCCTTGGAAACCTTGTACAGGTCGGAACCGACTCGACGCTATGGGTCAGAACCGACTCGACGGCACTTTAATAACAACAACAACAACAACAACATGTTATTTTCCTCTTAGCACCTGAGGCTTGCTGGTATCATCATAATCTAATAACAGTGGTTACAGTGGTGCTTGTGCCTAACGTTGGGTGCATAGCTGTCATCTGGTAATAACTTGAACTAGTGGATGAGAAGTATTCTCTCTCATTCATTCTAATGAATGTCTCTAATAATGACAGATATTGTCTATTCAGTGCCCAGACACTGTGCTACGTACACTTATCTTGTTTAATTTTTCTTTTAGCCCTATTAGATAGGCCCTGCCATAGTTCCCTCTTTACAGATGAGGAAACAGAAGCACAAAGAGGTTACACGTTAAGGAGAGCAAAACTAGTCTTGGAACTCAGGCAGTCTGTCTCCACAGCATGTGCGTAACTAAGGGGCTATACTAGTTCTTAGAAGCTCTGGTGGCACTTTAGGATAGGCATAGGAGTATAGGCAAAGTCAGAAGTTCAAACCCACTTGCAGAAAAGATGAGAGTTTCTGTGCCTGTAACGATTTACAGCGTTGGAAACCCTATATAGAGTTGCTATGGATCAGAATTGACTCCATGACACTGGGTTTGTTTTTGTTTTATACTAGTATTTATATTTGGAGTCCTGGTGTGCTGATGTAGGATAAGCACTTAACCAAAAGGTCAGTGCTTCAAACTCACCAGCCACTTCTTGGAAACCCGTCCGGTACAGGGTCTCTATGAGTTGGAACTGACTCAACAGCACTTAACACCAAAGTATTCATACTCAGGGCAAACTGAGCATGTGCTCACACTCCAGGCTTCAGCATACTCTAGTTGATTCCAGCAATTAATATGGTAAGGATTTTCCATAGGTGTCTCTCACTTTTGCAGGCTATTTGGACATGGCAGCAGCAGTTGTTTCCTCCCACAGTAGACTGGCTTACCGTGGTATAGTGATGGTGGGGGCAATCCACACTTAGCAACCTTTACAGCAGGTCAGTACTTTTATGTTCCCTGGTAGTTTTACTCTCCCATTTAAATTTAAAAAACAACAACAGAAAACACCACTTTCATTTTCGTTGCTTTCATTGTGACTAATCATTGATTTCTTGGCTGAGATCTCGTTCTCTCCACCCAGGATTTCATCATTTCGCCTCTCTTCTTACTTCTCCAACCAGTCCTTCAGCCTGGTACCTCCTCAGGCCCTCCCTAGGTTCTATGAACTGTTGTCACTGGTTGTCTCCCATTATTTCTTCCACCTTCAAGCAGCTCTCCTCTCTAACAGGGAACCTCTTCCTAGGTGCTGTCCTTTAATGCAGGTGGTTTATGTCTTTGGACTTAGAAAAGCACACAGTTAAGGATTCAATCAGAGTTCCTAATCCTCTGGCAGAAGCAAGTAGGTGCAATTGGGAAGCAATTTCACTCCCTAGAACCTATACCTCTCTGGAAGTAAGGGATTGGACTCAATAATCTTCAGGACTCTTCCAGGAATTGCACTTGCAAACAAACAAACAAAATAACCTTTCTCCCTAATAAGTTTTTTTTAAAGTTTGGGATTTATTCTGTGTCATCCTGGTGTGGCATTGTATGATAAGCACTAGACTGCAAGATCAGTTTGAACCCCTAAGTTTGGCAGTTCAAACTCATCAGCCTCTACTTGGAAACCCTGTACAGGGTGGCTAAGAGTTGGAACTGATTGGACGGCACTGAACAACAACATCAGATAGAGACTTTGATGTAAAGCAGCGTTCAACAATGATCAAGAAAACTGTGTCTTTGGGATCAGGCAAATTTTCACTAAGTCACATTTCATCCTCTCTAAAACAGGAATAAAAATATGCACTTAGTTTCTTAGTGCTACTATAAGAGAAATACAAAAATGGGTGGCTTCAGAAACAGAAATATATTTTCTCACAATTTAGAAGACTAGAAACCTGTATTCAGGATGCTAGCTCTAGAGGAGGGGAAAACTCCTAGTCTCAGCTTCTCCAGCATTCTTCTCACTGTCCATTGGAGATCTCCACACAGCATAGATCTTCCTCTGTATATGTGCTTGCTTGCTTCTGTGCTTAATCTGCCATTTTTATATTTCAAAAGTGGTTGATTTAAGAGACACCGGCACTGAAAAGGAATCCTGATGTAGTGCTGTAGGATAAGCACTAGACTGCTAACCAAAATGTTGGCAGTTCAAACCTACCAGCTGCTCCTTGCAAATCCTATTTAGAGTCATTAAGAATTGCTGCACAGGACCTTTTTAAAGTATTGAAGAGCAGAGATATCAGCTTGAGGACTAAGGTACGCCTGACCCAAGCCATTGTATTTTCAATAGCCTCATATGGATGCGAAAGCTGGACAGTGAATAAGGAAGATCATAGAAGAATTGATGCCTTTGAGTTGTAGTGTTGGAGGAGAATACTGAAAATGCCATGGACTGCCAAAAGAACCAATAGATCTGTTTTGGAAGAAGTACAACCAGAGTGTTCCTTGGAGGCCAAGATGGCTAGGCTTCATCTCTCATACTTTGGACACACTGTCCGGAGAGAACAGTCGCTGGAGAAGGATGTCATGCTGGGTAAGGTGGAGGGTCAGAGAAAAAGAGGAAGAGCCCCAACGAGATGGATCAGCCAGGTGGCATCATTGATGGCGTCAAGTGTGGCGGCGGTAGTGAGGTTGGCCCAGGATAGGACATTGTTTCATTCTGCTGTGCATGGGGTCGCTATGATTCAGTTCCGACTGGATGGCACCTGACAACAACAACAACAACAAGAATTGGA